GACATGTAGGCCGTTGGTTCGGCTAGTAATGGCCTACCCACATATTGTCTATGTGGTTCAAATTTGGCAATATTGATGACCAAGGTTGCTGCTCATTCTGCTCTTTCTGTAAGTTATCTGCTAATAAAAGTGCTCTGTGTGAACCGGCACTTTCACCGTGCTACCTAAAATTGTTCCTAAGGCGCCCCCTATCAAATGATAGTCAAGTGGTTCCCAGATTATTCCTTAATTTGGTCTGGTTCAGGTTTTCACAGATGACTACTATTGGTGTTTTGGCACCAATGTGGTATCCAGTCCAAATACTGACGCTGTCAATGACCCTAGTCACTTTATAGACTCGACACACTCTTCATCATAGGCCTCTTCTGGATGTCTGTAAACTCTGTTTTGACTAATTGAGCGGTACAGGTGAAATCTGACCTCAGCAAAGAAAGCCACGCGATTTCAGTGTTCTACCCAGAAACGGTCATGGTCCCCAGTTCATTAAAGAAACAGATGATGCTGTTTTGCCGTTTACAGTGGGTTCCCCGGAGGTCGTCTGGTATTCTAACCTGCTTAAACAAGTTTGCTTTTCGATAAGGGCCTTGAAAAACGCGTTTTGATAGCAATTTACCCCTCATTCTGAACGGACTGGGTGTTTTTTGTTTAGTTGCAGCACCATATCCCGAAAGGCAGTGGGTCCTGTACCCTGGTGGGAAGATTTTGATACATTGGGTGTGGCCTCTGTGTAGGTACATCAGTCTGGGCATTACTCTATAAAACTGTGCGGACCGTTCTATTTGGCGCAATAATCTGTCTGGCAATGTCTGTCTTTTTAGCACCATTCTACCACAGATAAAAATTTTTTATAAAACACCACTTAGTTCTTTTTACGCACTGCAAAACCGACCGCTTGCATGCAAAATTTCAAATTTTTTATGCAATAGTTGCCGACATATGGATACTTTTTTTGACAGAACCATGCTTTGGCACACCCAAGCATGGACCAGTCCAAAGGAGCACTACCCAATTAAATCATTGCATAATGCACAATACAGCAGTGCAATAGACATGGTAGTCAGTTCATTTTTAGCGACACACCTGACTACACACATCTCCATTCACATATCTTATATGAGATCGGATTTTTTTTTTTTTTTTTTTGAAAAAAGAACGCATTTTTACCAAGGCATACCTTCGAAACTAAAATATTCCATATTAAATGTCAAGTCTGTAGATATCCCTTGGGGAAGTATTCAAGTGGGTCGGCCATATTTGACCCTCGGACTAGTTAGTCCACCGTTTTGAATGCTGCCTATCTATATATCAATTTTTCAATCTAACTACACATAGATAGATAGATAGAAAGGATAGGTAGATAGAGTATACATGAAATACATGTACTTATAGAATCTATTTGATTTCTTTTTTTTTTCAGGGTACAACTCTTGGCGCGAGTTGTGTGGCGGAAACAGAGCCAAAACATTTGACGATTTCCTGACTGGTCCAAAAGCCTTTAGACTGAAATATTCAGGGGTAGCAAAACTAAAGAAACTTTACAAGTAGGTCATTACAGTATTAGATTTCCGTTAGTTCTTTTTGTTTTTAATTTTTTCCGTTTATTGCTTCTAATTGGCATTACATTGATGGAGGAATATATCAGCTCTTGAAGCAAGTTCTGACGTTTATCACTTTATCATGCAGTTCGTTTCGACATCATTATTATTATTGTTGTTGTTGTTGTTGTAAAATCCTGTTTAAATAATAATAATAATAATAATAATAATAATAATAATAATAATGGTGAAAATAAAATATAGTAATGAATATTATGTGTGTGTGTGTGTGTGTGTGTGTGTGCGTGTGTTTAGAGTTCTATGTGTTGATCAAAGGGGTAGACCAGTTCACTATCATACTAATATCTTCTTCAGGCATCCGGACGACGTCGATTCCTTTTCTGGCGGTTTGTTAGAAACGCCCTTGCCAGCGGCGTCCGTTGGTCCGACTTTCGCGTGTGTGATAGCGGACCAGTTCCTGAGGTCACGCAGTGGCGACCGGTTCTGGTACGAAAACAAGCAAGCCGGCTTCACCCTGGAACAGCTGAAGTCCATCAAGAAGACGTCCAATGCCCGGGTGTCGTGTGATAACTTGGATAATATGCAAACGGTTCAGCCCAAGACTATGCTGAGGTCTTTAGAGGACGTTGTAAGGTCGCCAAGGTTTGTATTCAAAACTCTCAAGTCGTTATGTCGCTTATAACTGATACATGGGTATATACCTAAAATAATACCCAGTAGATATGTCACTCTCTCTCTCTCTCTCTCTCTCTCTCTCTCTCTAATGCTTTGGGAAGTTTTTCATCTATTGAGTTACACATTTTGACAGGTGTCTTATATGGGTTTTGCTTGGATGAATTAAACTGCTATCAACATCATTTCCAACCACTTCGTGTCTTTAACACTCAGCAAAAATGTTAATATTTCACCTTTGTCCTTTTCTTTAGATTCAATTACCGACACGGGTACCACGTACTGCGACTGTTTGGGGTCTCCAAAAACCGGAGAGTGCACTGTTCTCAACTAGCTGGCATTGACCTGAATTTGTGGAAAGAGAAGAGGACATATCATTAATGCAACGGATTATAGCTACGCATATATATATACGGCAGTTACAAATAGGGGGAAGGAGATAATTTTGATTATTAAATAATAGTTGTTTATTGCAGACTTGTTTTGACAGAAAATAAATAGGGTTGTGTCTCTGAAAGAAAAAGCTTCCTCGGAACCGAAATGTGTCGCTTCACTTGCATATTGTAGCTTTTGTACCATTCATTTTGCAAATCGTAATTTGTTTTATAGTTTTGAATAGTGAAGGTTTTACTACCTTATTTGATCGGATTTAAATGTAAGGTCAAAAACGCCATCGCTGTTAGTAACGATACCATTTATATTCAAATGTGTAGGATTCAGCGGACTACCATGTCCACGTGATAATCAGCTTTGATATACTCCTTCTTTGTTTTTCCCATTTGTTCTATCAAGGTAAAGAGCCCACTATGTTTTAACCATGTTGTTATGCTACGGCGTATTGGAATTAATACATTATTAAGGTCAATATTTTTTTCTTCTGCCTTTCTGTCACTAATTGAACGCATCGTATAAAAGAACCATTTCTGAAGGCGCCAAAGTATAAACTTCTATCAGTTAGTAGACTGGTGAAGATTCTTTAAGTCTGTACAAAATGATACAAATAAAACAGGTATGCGTATTGAACTGATTTTTGTTCAGAATTCTTTTTCATAGTTTTCTGCTTTAATTTCATGACTTTTCTTACCTTTGCCCAAAATATAGTAACTACAGTGCTTGTCCCTTGTAGCGTTTGTTGTATAAATATTTTTTTTTAATACTCTAGGATTCACTCGTAACATAGCAAAAGAAAGTCCGATGACCTTGCATCCTTTCCACCATCATGACGTTAACTGCGTCAGAGCACTACTTTCCTATGGTGACCTAATATATAAATAATATAATACTCTGTATCTTCATAAATCTATATTATATTTTAATAAAGTGCTTCTTTCCTTTAATATTAGATTTAGTAATTGACAACGTGACAACTAACTCTCCTGGATACTTCAGTCAGTCTGCTGAGAGTGCGGGTGCAACCATTTTTAATTTTGCTTCGCAATCGAATAGTTTTAATATCCCAAATGGATATTTAATATCCCAAACGAAAAACGAAAAGGTTAAGAGGTTCCTTTTCCCGTATAAAACATCTTGGCAAGAAAAAAAAACCCTGCAATGCATCAGTTTGTAAATTTGACAACACTAGGACAACACGGCTGTTCAAAAATGATTCCCGTCTACTACATGTATGATGTTTTCATAATATTTAAATATTACGAACTCATGAGGATCGGCGTACTTTATTTCTTATTCCCCTTACGATATGGCATGAAAAAACACCATATGTTTTTCTCCGGGGCAATCCATACATGTAATTACTCTTAATTGTATCAACCTAGTTTATATTGATTGTCTGAATCTGATTCTGAATAAGTTCTCCGCCTGCTGGCGTAGACGCGTCGGGAAAGAGTATGTTTGCCAGTGCAACAGGAATGGAAGTCCGCTAGGAACTGTAGACCGCTTCCTCTTACTTTACACAGGTGACATTCGCCCCAAACACTAACCCCAATACTTCAACTAACCCTAACCTGTACTAACCATATGGGAGGACTTCCATTCCTAGGACATCCATTCACGCTGGTATTAATTAGTCACTGAGTATTGCTCTTCTGCAATAGTCAACAGGCTGAAGACAAACTACAGAGGTCTCTAGATGATACCAGTCCAGGAGATCCTCAATCATTTTACTAAATAATATAAGTCTGTGAGCTTTGCGACTGTCGTATAGTGGAGAAAGGTCTAGAATTGTTGTCCTCTTCGAGACACACCCTCAATTTTAATATATTACAAGTTTCGCCTTTTTCACGCAACAATATGACGACCTCCCTTACCTTTGAAGCAACACTAAATTATCCAGCTTGTTATTTTCAGCGCTTGTTGGGTAAAGTACAGGGTACTTCCACACCACGGTATTTGAAGCCTCTAAGATTCACGGCGCTGGATTCACGTTTTTTCGTAACATAGCAAATATTATTATGCGGTTATGGCGTCGATTACGTCAGAGTCACGTTCCTATGGTTCCAACGTGATCTGACGACGCAAACCGAGACTTATTTATTATTAGGTCTCAAATAATAATATATTTCCATGTCGATGTGAGCGGACTATTGGAAATAATAGTTAACAGACTGTTTTTGAAAAAATTAAAGTATGGAAAAATGAAGCATTTGAGAATTTGCCCCGTGCCTTCGAAACAAAATACGTGATAGACTAAATGGAAAAAAATATCCGCAAAATATCCGCATTGAAATTGATCTCTCTTCTTTTTCTCTTTTTAATGAAAGACATCCGATATGCCATAGCTCTTGCAAACACTTACATTAATCTCCTTTTCTCTCTCCCCTGTTGGTGTACAATCTACCATAGCTCACGGAAGCACTTACATTCTCTTCCAATGACTTTTAAACAGAAGGGCAAATACTATTACCTACAGAGTGTTTTATAATATCGATGTCCAAAGTGTCATATCACACATGTTACGAGTGTTTACCCTTTAGAACTAAATGGCAATGAATCAATTTCCCTGGGTCATTTACACACTTTGCATTTTGTCACCATGGTATATGTGCACAACTGTTTGCATAAGCGTGATCCATCTAACCATTTTTGAGTTTTTAGACTTTGATCCTTGAGTTATTCTGGGATTAGAGATGAATGCTGAATAAATTTAACTCGTTCCAGTAAAAAAAAAAAAAAAAAAAAAAAAAATATATATATANTTCTACGGCGTATTGGAATTAATACATTATTAAGGTCAATATTTTTTTCTTCTGCCTTTCTGTCACTAATTGAACGCATCGTATAAAAGAACCATTTTTGAAGGCGCCAAAGTATAAACTTCTATCAGTTAATAGACTGGTGAAGATTCTTTAAGTCTGAACAAAATGATACAAATAAAACAGGTATGCGTATTGAACTGATTTTTGTTCAGAATTCTTTTTCATAGTTTTCTGCTTTAATTTCATGATTTTTCTTACCTTTGCCCAAAATATAGTAACTACAGTGCTTGTCCCTTGTAGCGTTTGTTGTATATATATTTTTTTAATACTCTAGGATTCACTCGTAACATAGCAAAAGAAAGTCCGATGACCTTGCATCCTTTCCACCATCATGACGTTAACTGCGTCAGAGCACTACTTTCCTATGGTGACCTAATATATAAATAATATAATACTCTGTATCTTCATAAATCTATATTATATTTTAATAAAGTGCTTCTTTGCTTTAATATTAGATTTAGTAATTGACAACGTGACAACTAACTCTCCTGGATACTTCAGTCAGTCTGCTGAGAGTGCGGGTGCAACCATTTTTAATTTTGCTTCGCAATCGAATAGTTTTAATATCCCAAATGGATATTTAATATCCCAAACGAAAAACGAAAAGGTTAAGAGGTTCCTTTTCCCGTATAAAACATCTTGGCAAGAAAAAAAAACCCTGCAATGCATCAGTCTGTAAATTTGACAGCACTAGGACAAGACGGCTGTTCAAAAATGATTCCCGTCTACTACATGTATGATGTTTTCATAATATTTAAATATTACGAACTCATGAGGATCGGCGTACTTTATTTCTTATTCCCCTTACGATATGGCATGAAAAAACAACATATGTTTTTCTACGGGGCAATCCATACATGTAATTACTCTTAATTGTATCAGCCTAGTTTATATTGATTGTCTGAATCTGATTCTGAATAAGTTCTCCGCCTGCTGGCGTAGACGCGTCGGGAAAGAGTATGTTTGCCAGTGCAACAGGAATGGAAGTCCGCTAGGAACTGTAGACCGCTTCCTCTTACTTAACACAGGTGACATTTGTTCCATAAACTAACCCCAATACTTCAACTAACCCTAACCTGTACTAACCATATGGGAGGACTTCCATTCCTAGGACATCCATTCACGATGGTGTTAATTAGCCACTGAGTATTGCTCTTCTGCAATAGTCAACAGGCTGTAAACAAACTATAGAGGTCTCTAGATGATACCAGTCCAGGAGATCCTCAATCATTTTACAAAATAATATAAGTCTGTGAGCTTTGCGTCTGTCGTATAGTGGAAAAAGGTCTAGAATTGTTGTCCTCTTTGAGACACACCCTCAATTTTAACATATTACAAGTTTCGCCTTTTTCACGCAACAATATGACGACCTCCCTTATCTTTGAAGCAACACTTTAAATTATCCAGCTTGTTATTTTCAGCGCTTGTTGTGTAAAGTACTTCCACACCACGGTATTTGAAGTCTCTAAGATTCACGGCGCTGGATTCACGTTTTTTCGTAACATAGCAAATATTATTATGCGGTTATGGCGTCGATTACGTCAGAGTCACGTTCCTATGGTTCCAACGTGATCTGACGACGCAAACCGAGAGTTATTTATTATTAGGTCTCAAATAATAATATATTTCCATTTCGATGTGAGCGGACTATTGGAAATAATAGTTTACAGACTGATTTTGAAAAAAAATAAAGTATGGAAAAATGAAGCATTTGAGAATTTGCCCCGTGCCTTCGAAACAAAATACGTGATAGACTAAATGGAAAAAAATGTCCGCAAAATATCCGCATTGAAATTGATCTCTCTTCTTTTTCTCTTCTTAATGAAAGACATCCGATATGCCATAGCTCTCGCAAACACTTACATTAATCTCCTTTTCTCTCTCCCCTGTTGGTGTACAATCTACCATAGCTCACGGAAGCACTTATGTTCTCTTCCAATGACTTTTAAACAGAAGGGCAAATACTATTACCTACAGAGTGTTTTATAATATCGATGTCCAAAGTGTCATATCACACATGTTACGAGTGTTTACACTTTAGAACTAAATGGCAATGAATCAATTTCCCTGGGTCATTTACACACTTTGCATTTTGTCACCATGGTATATGTGCACAACTGTTTGCATAAGCGTGATCCATCTAACCATTTTTGAGTTTTTAGACTTTGATCCTTGAGTTATTCTGGGATTAGAGATGAATACTGAATAAATTTAACTCGTTCCAGTAAAAAAAAAAAAAAAAAAAAAAAAATATATATATATATATATATATATATATATATATATATAGATCGCTATTTTTGTCAACAACAAGTTTGTATGGGTAATGCGTTGGTATTAAAAGGGATGACACTTCATACGAGATTCATATTTCAAAATACATGGTAAACTACTCCTTGAAATATAATAAATTCCATTTTACCATCAAAACAGCGGTTATTGCAATCATTCTGGAATCTGCGGGTGCCATCAGACAACTTGGACCTTCATAGATGGCTATACCACCATAATAATCTATTACGAAATTACGCCAAAATATTTTTAAAAAAATAAAAAAAAAAAAAAATTACTTTGAATGTCGAGTTGGATTCTTTAATGAGGGGAAGAACGTCATTTCTCCCATGGAAATCCGTTTTTTGGCCAAAAATAACAGTTGAAATAGTTTTAAGGTAGATGTGTTGAACATTAATCCTATTGTATTTCTATATAAAAGCTATGTGTGTACTGTAGGTCTTAAATTAATTATTTAGCCAAAAATCGAACTCAAAGCAGGAAGCTGACAGGAGGATTTTTTGGTTCACTCCAGTCAAACTCGGTCGTGGATTGGCCAAAGCTACGCATGCGCGACTACTCTGTCATAAAATGATATTTTAAACCGGCGAGTGTGAATTGGTCAAGTTTAAGTCAACCAGCTAAAAGCTTTTGATTGAACCGGTTTTCTCTGCCGCAGGCGTTTTGAAGAAAAATATATAACCAGATAATTACTTAGACAGGTAGCGTTTTAAAGAGGTCACCATAATGCGGAACATTTTGGTGATCTTGGCCTTGGTACCCCTCACATCTCTGGCGACAGAACTGGGCAGTGGGCACTCGTTCCGGATTCCGCCAGGATGTGCACGCGACCTCACGCTGCCGACTTCCTACGTCGCAAAAACGTTGGACGTTCGAGAGCCGTCGCGGTGCGCCTTGCAGTGCCTTCAGGAGAGCTGGTGCCAGGGATATAATCTGCAGGAGGTGGACGCTCTACTGACGCCGTGTGAGTTACTGAACGGAAGAACAGATCGAAATGGGACCCACTTGATAGAGCGGGCAGGATTTATTTACCACGAAAAGGTCTGTTGCTGCTTGCATGTTTTTGAATATATTTTAATTTGATTTTATTCAATTTATGCGCGTACAATACACACATACCTGTGTACAGTTTACACGAACATGTATGCGTGATTCTATGTACATGTTCAGTAGGGGATAGCAAACCAATAATGCTTTACGTTGAATATTCGATATGCTTATTCATGATGATCATATTTTAAAGATATGATTAACTGATGAAACCTGTTAAAAGAAAAGTGTCATTATACAATTGGAAAAAAAATCGCATCTTAAAATGTTTTAAATTATTTTTTACATTACGCGACGTGTCCATGTTGCCAATCGATATTTTTTTTGTCAAACTTATTTTGTCTTGGGAAGGGGTGTAAGTCATGTTAACCAGTGACACCATATATCTCGTCCATTTTGAACTTGTAGGGTTATTATTATTATTATTATTATTATTATTATTATTATTATTATTATTATTATGATGATGATGATGTAAGAATTAAAGTTCCAAATACAATGGTAGTGACCATAAAATAAATGAAACCTCCTATCACCATATTAGGAACTAGATTAATTTGAATTTATCTAAGATATATTTGATTTCACCAATTGTTTACGTTTTGTTTAAAATCTTTGCACATTGCTCTTCGCGATATGGACAATGTGTGAAAAGATTTTGTTGCCTGAATTAAAATAAATAAATAAATAAATAAATAAATAAATAAATAAATAAAATACTTTTTAAAAAAAATATAACGGTTTTAATTTTTTCAGGTCCCCTCTGGCTTCGTGTCGACAACATGTGACGCCTATGATCCTCGTAAGTACCGTAACTGGGATATTGTAGCATTTAAAATGCGGTTCGCAAAACCACTCGGCAATGCTAGCCATAGAACATAATGCATTGTAGACACTTGCCTTTCCAGAGGCTGAATGATAAGTAACAAAGCTGAAATCAATGGGAGTTATTATAATCGTAATTATTGCCTATAAATTATGAATACTGGGTAACAGACAGAATTGTAGTGAATAATGCAACTAATTGAACGGCGTTAATTGCTGTCGTGTATTTATTTTGCTGCTTTCAGCCTGTTTTCAAAATATCGACCTGTTTAACAAACACGTGCGGGTCTGTTCTTTATGTATTGCCTATCGTCTGCTAATGTTTATACGTTTTGGGCATGGTATACAGGTATATCGACTTGTTCACGAATCACCTATACGGACAAGGGTCCAAATATCAATAAGTATTGGAATTGAACTTTATCGATACAGGTGGACGTAAGATCAATGGTTCTGGTGGTGATTGACCGTTGAGTGACCCCTCGAACATGGGCAGTGCCGACGGATTTATTGATAATCATTCCCGATTGTTATAAAGGGGCATAACCTCATTACCTTTGATTATTCTCAGTCAGTGGTGGCTCTTATGGGGTGGGGTGGGAGGGGGAGGAGGGGGGCCCATGACCTCCCTTAACCTCAAAGGTACATGGGTACTCTGTGCTCCGACCACCAGAAGAGTAAAACAAGCGAAAGTAAACCAAACTAAATAATATTTTCAATGCTGATAATACTGTACATGCCCGTATAAATTATAATGGTGAACAAACCCGTCTGCTGAGAAATATGAGTGAAGTCGGATACAGGAACTTGCATGTACATGTACATTTAGCAACTAACCTGGGATGCGATCTCAACCTGAGACCTTTAAAATACTGGTAGATAAATGACCTGGATGGACTGGTCACCTGTCGGTCAGTTGCTATCTGTAAGGTCCAGTATCAGAATTATTCATATTTCGCATTCTTATTTTACTGGATGAGTAACATCTTGCACTCAGTTTCGTCTGCTGTTTTTTTTTTTTTTTTTTTTTTTTTTTTTTGCTTCGCTTGCTGATAATTTTTTCCTTATACCTCCACTCATCCGACCACACCACCTGAAAAAAATTGGATCCAGCAGTCATGTTGAAGCATCGTATTTTTTTCTACTTAGACCTATAAGGCACGGCGCAACAATAGTTTATTAAAGCTCACATAACGAATCAGTCATGCGATCCAGGCACTTTCCTGAAGGGTCGAGTCTGTTATGCCTTACAGGTAGATTTCAATTGCCTTTAAACTGTATACATGCATAACGATTTACGTTTTAATTACTTATGAAAAATCTCTATTGCATATGGGAAATGTGTTCTCATAAGTAAATACATGTTAATTTGGCGGATATTTCATGCAGTTGTTTTCTGGAAATGCTCTCCTGCAATAAGCCGTTAAAATGCAATGTGAAAAAAAAAAAAAGAACTGCAAATATCTTCACTGTCCTGCAATTATTTTTCGCTTTGGTTTGAAACCATTGAGAAAAACAATTTCAGCGTTTGTAGTTTAATTTGGTGTTGCCTCAAAACCGGAGATGTTTGCTTTCGCTTGATGGGTTACATCTTGTTAATTGTCCGTCGCCTGGCAATGCGTGGTGGATAACTCGCGAATTATTGATTTAGTTTCGAATAACAACGCTGCTTTTTATGCACATCCATGCAATTAGGCGAATAGCCCAATCGTCTACTAATTAAGCAGAGGAGGAAAATCAAAAATATGAAAAGGGCCAGAGCCAGTTGCTTGCAATTAACTGACAGTTCACAAAGATTGCCACGATGATTGAAGAGAGTGTCCACTAATTAGTGAGGGTAAAGATTTAGAACAGCAGATGTGGGAGAAAAGAAGTGATGAAGATCGATAAAAATACAAGTACACTGGGCAACAGTAATGGATAATCTGAAGAACTGTTTGATTAATAACACGCAGTGGTCTTAAGGAAACTGTCTATACTGTGGAACAAATGTTTAGGTGTTTATCTTTCCTGATAATTTTTCTAAACCGCCAGAATGACCACACTAATATTTTTTTTTTCTCTCTATCACCCATATTTGATCAGGTGAACACTGAAAACATATATAAGAAAGAAAGAAAGAAAACAGGAAAATCTCCATAGAACCACCTTTATCCGCCCATTAGCAGTGGCTAAAGCTACTGTCATGATGCATGTCTCTTTTTTACTCACCAAGAGTTCCTCCAGTAAGAATCCCATAACGTAGATTTTTTGCGCTTTACCTCCTGTCGAAAAAATAAATGAATAAATAAATAAAACCCTCACCTTCAAAGCTCCTGCTAACACTACATTTCATCGATAACTCAACAACACAGACCTCAGCTGTTCGTAAAGTGTTTTTAGTTTATTTTATTTTGATTAATTAATTAATTAAATAATTAATTAATTATTATTATTATTATTTTCAAAATTAAGCTCCAGCAAGCGGTTTCATCAAGATAGACGCCAACTGGTACCTGTGGGTTGAGGCTCAGAAGACCTGGTCAGACGCGGAGGCTCACTGCCAGAGTCTTCACTCCTCTGCCCACTTAACGGACGTTCCTTCACTGAAACTGAACACGCGGTTGATCAACTACGCCAGGCATAATCAAGGAGGTAACACTGAACGTTCATGAAATCTTAAAGGGATAACAACTGTTCGGTTTGGCAAAAAAAAAAAAAAAAAAAAAAAAAAAAA